CAAGCAAGACTTTAACTCGGTGATTATAGAGCGTCTATGAGGGAGAGCTTGGAAAAATCAGTACTTTTCATAGATTGGATCCGGTCGGAAAGAAAAAATTTTGGACTTGCCGAATCATAACCAGATAAAGACGAAACTTACGAAGAAATGCTAGCTGAACTTGCGGAGGTTGTTGCTTCGCCTGGAAGTGGCGATGACCAAGCTACTTTTCCGCCACCACCAACGAAAATTCCTCCGAACCTTGATAGATTTATAAAGTTTGTAAGAGATACCATGTAACTTGTATGAACAAAAATTAATATGTATTATGTAACTTGTATTTTGGCACATCTTGATTAGTTTCTTTTTCTTCTCAATGGTGGTATTAGCACCTTGTTGTGCCAATTTCATAGGGGGATGAAGACTAAGAAAGATATTGTCATATTTTTTAATGCTATAATAAAATTATAAGGCATTGCTTTGAATATCTCTTTACAATATTTTCGTCTTTAGACTTTAAATTTGAATTAAAAAATATTTAAAAACTTAGGTCACAATTTTATAATAAATTTTACAAGGCATTGCCTTAGATGTTATTTTTAACATTCTTTTGTCTCTAATTTCTATTTAATTTTTTTTTAAAAAAAATCCGTTAGGCCTACTTAACCCATTTAACCCGTGGGCCGGGACCGTTTAGTCCGGGACTGTTTGACCCGTTTAATTTGGGATCGTTTGGACCGGCCCACTTAGCCCGTTTAGACCCACTTGCCACCCTTAATTAGAACCGATAACCTTTAAATCCTGACTTCATCTCTGAAGAAATACATAAGATATGGAAAATAAATCTTAAAGTTATTATTTTTTAGATATGCTATCAATTAGAGAGACAAAGGTTACAACTGGTTCAAGTTTACTAAAATTCATTGACGAAAAAGAATAATCCAAAAAGATAGTAGTATATTATTTGCTATAATTTATAACAACCGAGGAACAAGTATTGAAGGAATTTTGTTAGAAGGAGAAGAGAGAGAGATAATATTAGAGATGGGGGACTACAACCCAACAGCCATGCCAAAACAGCTGGGCATTAGGTAGTAGGTACGACGTACGAGTAACAGAAACGGATACGCATATCTCCTCTCTCCTATCTTTCTCATTTATTATTATCTCTGCCCTCCCCCCACTTTATTTAATTTTTAATTACTAGTACTATATTCTATTTTACTAAAATTTTAAATCTAAATCCTTTACCCGTTTTAGTATTCACACTAAAATCTAGGGTCCTATAATAGAGATTACTCAAAGTTTCATTTAAATAAAGAGAAAGTGGATGTGAAGGAAGGTCGTAGGAAAGTGACTAGTGTTTTTGGGAAGCGTGTATGAGAGCGTGGGTTACCTGATCCGTACAGGTATTACTTTATGCAGAAGGACGGTTTCATGCACATCTTTATAGGAACAATTTTTTTGCGTTAATTTTTAGTTAAGCGTTAGATATAAAATTAAGAAATATATGTAAATTATTAAATAACTAGAATTTTAATACTAGTATATCTTATACTAAAAAAAGAATATTAAAAAAGAGGCGGTGACCGATTGACGGGTAGTAGCAAGGTTATCATGGTGATAAAAGGCCGTTGGAGTTGCAATTAGAATGAAAGGAGGGATATGTATATTCAAGGAAGTTGAAGGGGTTTAAGAATAAAAAAATAAGAAAACAGGCTGGACTGACAGGATTGTAGTAATGATTCGCCTTCCGATTCGGCGACCAAAGTTGTCGTTTAGTGCCAGCTCAGCACATCCGTGCGGCCGTTTCATTTTCAGGAGGGGGTTGGGGTTGAAAAGAAAACAAAGAAAAAATTAAAGGAGTGGGTAGATAAATATCCCATCCCCATAAAAAAGAAAAGAAAAGTTATATGCTCTCCAGGCTGTCAACTGCAGTTTCTGTTTGCTTTCAGTCAAAGCTGATGGCCTCACTCTCTTTCTATTTTTTTTTTTTTTTTTTTTTTTTTTTTTTTTTTTTTTTTTTTTTTGTCTTTTCAATCATCTCCTCAACCGTTACCCTAATCTTCTCTCTCTCTCTCTCTCTCTCTCTCTCTCTCTCTCTCTTCCACTCACACCCATACTTATTTTAATTAGTAAAATATAAATAAATGTGTCATGATTTCAGTTACAAGTCACTTGCTTTATTTCTCTTTAATAAAGTCTTAAATCTACAGAGGATGTTCATCATTCTTTAACTGATTTACTGTGTATGAATAATTCGAGTTTAGATTAACTCATTCTTTAACTGGGATATATTTACCAGCTCATCCAATGCAAGCCCTTTAAATAAACATTTAGGGTATTACTAGGAAGTGTGGTGGAATAATTAAAAATGTTAATATGATATTTCTACGTACAAAAAGAACCTCTTGATAGAGGAAGTGTTACTAATTTAATCGACCTATTCAGTTCAAATTAATGGATCAATAAATTTTAAATACTAAATATCAATCATAAGGGAAAAATGAAACATTTTCAGCACTATTAATCTGATTCGAAGTTAAAATTTGTTTTCACCATTTTGCTTCTTATTATTCGTACATAGTGGCACCCAAATTACCAGGTAACAACCTCTGACTCTGTTACATTTCAACTTTTGTTTGTTTCCATTAGAACCAAACAAATTTCCTTGGGTACGTAGGTTAGTGGGAAAAGAGGCAAAGTTGAAGAAAAAACAAAGAAAAAAAGAAAAGTAATGTACACGCAGCTTATAGAAAAAGAGGAGGAACAGCCTCTCTAAAACTGAAAACAGGAGCCTACACCCCCCCCCCCCCCCAAAATAATCTGTTATTGTGTAAATCAGTGTAATCTTTCTTTGTGACGCGTGTCCCTGTTTACAGCTGTATTCCATCTCTAATTTTCAACCGCTTTCCCTATCCCTCTTTTTAAAAAAAATATCAATCGGTGCCCATAACGATTACAACTCTTCCCCACTTACCGGCTTTACCGGTCATCCCTTTGCCCTTTTATACCCTCTTCTCCCATATATAAATCTCCGCTTCTTCACGTTTCCTCTTCCTAAAAACACACATACAACACAAAAATGGCCAATAGCAGTAACAGTTCTAAGAAAGATATGGATCGGGTTAAAGGTCCATGGAGCCCCGAAGAAGACGAGCTTTTACAGCAGCTCGTTCACAAACATGGACCACGAAATTGGTCTCTTATTAGCAAATCCATACCTGGAAGATCCGGTAAATCTTGCCGGTTAAGGTGGTGTAATCAGTTATCGCCTCAAGTAGAGCATCGAGCTTTTACTCCCGAAGAAGATGAGACCATTATTCGGGCCCATGCTCGATTTGGGAATAAATGGGCCACTATAGCCCGACTTCTTAATGGACGAACCGATAACGCCATTAAGAACCACTGGAACTCTACCTTGAAGAGGAAGTCCTCCTCTCTTAGTGCTGATGAAGGTAACGAACTCGCCGATCAAATTTTTCAAAATGAACAGCCGCCGTTAAAGAGATCCGTTAGTGCCGGATCCGCTATGCCGGTGTCGGGTTTCCATTTCAGTCCCGGTAGCCCGTCGGGTTCCGATAGTGATTCGAGCCTTCACGTTACGTCATCATCTCAATCTCACTTGTTCAAGCCTGTCGCTAGAGCTGGCGGTGTGTTTCCGCCGCCGTCTATTGACACGTCTTCTCCCTCCGATGATCCCCCGACTTCCCTCAGCCTTTCGCTTCCCGGAGTTGACTCGGTCGAGTTTTCTAATCGTTCGGTCGAGTCGACTCAGTCGAAGAATCCCTTCCAGATGCTTCCTGTTGCTATGCAGATTCCCCCACCTCCACCACCGCCGCCTCAGGCTGCGGCGGTGCCGTTTCAACGTGCTTTAAATCAGGAAACTGCAGGAGAACAGCAAGATAAGGTGTTTGTGCCGTTTAGTCAGGAGTTGTTGGGAGTGATGCAAGAGATGATTAAAGCGGAGGTGAGGAACTATATGGTGGGGATTGAGCAGCAACAATTTCAGCAGCAACAACAGCAGCAACGTTATCAACAACAACAGCAGTTTCAGCAACAAAATCATCAAATGCCAAGTGGAATAGGGTTAGGTTTGTGTATGCAACAAGCTACTGATGGATTTAGGAATACAGGTGCTAATCGAATGGGAGTAAGCAAAATCGATTAGAGAGAGGGAAACTGCCTTTGTTTCATTTTTCTCTAAGTTTAGGGGGCACATGTTGGCTTTGAGCTTCAACTGCGTGGGATCGTCAAAAAAAGGAAATAGTTTTTGGACTGTTTTGTACAGAGAGAGTGGGAGGGAGAGTATAAAGCTAAGTTCCAATGGCAGAAATGCTAAGGCTGGAACAAATAAGAAAAAAAAAAACCAAAAAAAGTCGTTTTGTTAATTTATATTCAGGCAGATTTAGAAAACAAGAAAAAAAGATTAGGTAAGTAAATATGTTTTGAGAGACCCTACCGCCAAAGAAATGAACAATGAAATCTGGTGGAAGGATTTGAATGAAGCAAAGTTTTTAACTTTATTCTTTAAGTTATTATCTTTCCTTTTCAAATTTAAATGTTGATGACCAGATGAGTTTGAAAATCGCAGGGAACTGAAAGAAAGAATTGAATTGTGGACAGTAGTGTTTCAGTAATGCCATAGTGAAGCTGAAAACCTAGAGCAGCAATTAGAAAGGTCACAAATTATCATTATAAGGATTGCATCAGGTATTTAGGAACTCCCTTGCCAATGTGGAGGTTGCACTGTTTAAAGCTAATCTAAACCTTATATAAGAGCCATAAGTGACAAGCGTAAGGAGAAGGTAAAAAACAAATTTAACCAAAAAAACTTTCAACTATGATTCAGATCAGGCCAGATTCTATTACTTCCTCCTCTTTAGATGAAACTCAACTTACAAAACGTCAAAGACCGGACAGAGTTTCTCTTAAGACACTACCACTTTTGAGAGAGTTCAATTGATCTTTTCTACATCTTTAGGGCCTGTTAACACATAAAAAACTGTTCGAGCGCGTCATCATAACTGAAATTGAACGTTTGACCAAGCCATTTAAGATAAGACCAGAACTCCGTTTTCCAATAGGAGACTTGTACAAATGTGGTACAAGACAAAGACAACCAACTTTATGATTAATGGTTCCCTAACGTCCTGCATTAAAATTAGATACTTTGCCGCTTACATCTTTACAGTAACATGGAAAAGAATATATATGGCTGATTTAGCCTCAAGTGTACACCTGACAATCTAGTTGAAGAGGTTCAACATGTACAGTGCAGTATTCTTCACTTTCTGACAACAAAGTTTTCGACACTCCATCTCAATTGGCATGTGAACAGCTACAGTGCAGGAAGTCAATACTCACAAATGGGCTGCTTGAATGGTGCTAGGTAGGGTGCCATGCCTCAAGAACATAATTAGAGAATGCAATTTGTCAATCATTTGTGAAACATCCTCCCTCCATGACCATGTTGGAGGATTTAGAGCACGAACAGAATTGAGACAAACAAGAAGCGTGCCACCTTCATGCAAGAGGACCTGCATGTTGACATACCAGCTCAAATGAATTTACTAAGATAGCGACCAAGCTAGGGCAAAAATGCAGTTTCTGATTATCCGTAGTTGCAAATCACCGGCAGAATGTAAATCTATCTATCTTCCAAGAATAACAGGAATTGGACCACTTAGAAATAAGAAAATTTCACAAAGGTTAACTTGTGTCTCCTACTAGGTTATAATTGTTGGACCTAATAGCTGCACAAAGACTAAGAGCAGCAAGCTGGACAGATATACAGATTGATTGAAACAAAGATGGATAAACTTAAGGTGAGAAATATCTGGAAGAGAGTTATACCGTCAACCACAGTGGGAGGACTCCCAATACTGATGTAAGAGAGGCCAAAAGAATGCTAGACAAAGCAAGTGCCACATTTTGCTTGATCTGCAAGTATAGGGGTGTGCATCAGCTGCATATAGAAAGACGTGTTGATTACAAAGGAAAAGGAAATACCAAGGATGTTGTTTGACGAGATTTCGCAACACAAAATGGGACACCGGAAATATTGTCTTGTAGCAACAGTACATCCGCAACAGCTATGGCAGCCGCACTAGCTCGTTCCGCCAGCACAATACCAACGGTAGCTGCAGCAAGTGCTGGGGCATCATTGATGCCATCACCTACCATTATGAGGCCGCCTGCTCAGAAGTATAGTAATTGGTCAGGTAACAATTAGCACAATAAGGAAACATGAATTATCGGGAAAAGTTATAGTTGATTAGCATCTACCCATGTTTGCACCCCATACATACACATTCCTGGGACCCTAAAGTGGAGAGAAATGAGAATCATGTCTAAGGTTTACCCTTTTTCGACTTCTCCTTGTTACCATGAACAGCAAAATAACTTCGGGTGTATGCTTTATTCCATCCAGTTTCACCTATAAGGTCCTCTGTTCTAAGTGGGATCTCCAATTTATTTAACTTTTATAGTCTATGGACATGAGTGGGTCCCCACAGAAGCATATGTAAACTTGCTTATCTTGATGGTTTAAAGTTAAAACTTCAATGCTTTAGCATTGGTTAAATTAATTTGTTATTGACTATTTAGAAAACATCAACATAAAGACGCTAAATAAATATCAAAATTTCGCCATTAGTTTGATAAGTTGAATCTTTTAGGTCGCAGTCCAATGATTTGTTGCATGAGGTAGCTTCTTCTCCTCTTTCGTTTGTATGTTCCGAGTTGACTGACTCAAAGGTCTTAAAACACAGTTCTTATCTCTAAACCAATATCCAAAAGAATTCTCAAGGAGTGAAACAAAACTTGGAAGTTCCAAAAAGTACGGTACAAAAACCAAGGAGCAATTTACCAATCTGCTTTAGTTAGCTGAAGCTCAGGTGAATAGCAGGACAAGACATGCAATATTCGGGTGTTTGCTGCTACTCATTTATGGATGAATTTAACCAGGAAACTTGTCCGGTTAAGTTTGGGGGAAGAAAGAAAGAGGACAAAAGAATGAAGAAACCGTTAAGAAGTGCTATTATTATGAACACACTACAGTGTCATCACATGACATGAGAGCCAAAAAGGAGCAAACACGCTGCATGAACATCAGGCCTAAATGGGGTTGTGGAATACGTCTTAAGCACAAAATCTGAAAATTGTTCTGAAGTTTGGTCAAGGAGTACCGTGAATTGGTCCACATGGTGTAATGAACAATGTCCAAATCAGGGTAACACCTTTTTATTCTATAGCAGTTAATGTTAGATATATTGATAGGAAAGAGAAACACTAAAAGCAACCCATTTAGATTGTCAAATTAATTGAGGGTAGGAAATTTTACACCCATGATGGTTGAGAAGTTTAGGGTAAGCTGTATGGCTTAGAAAGAAGTAAATGATACCTCTTTCCATAGAACCACTAGTTACACATACTACCTGTTTCATAGAACATTTATTAAATCCTAAAGAAGCATTTAGCCACAGCTGCCCCAGCTATATATTAATTTAATCTGGTGACTTAGCATGAGTAATTTTCATTGTTTTTGATAAGTTGTCATTTGGCATGTGTATTAAGATGCGAGTTAAATATGAACATGAGCTAGTTAAGTGATAGCAAATGTGCGAAACCACAAATAATTTTTTTGTTTAGAATTTGGAAACCTAAAATGGTCCTGAAAAACATGAAAGGAAACCTCTCATTGCCAGCTTTAGCGACTCACCTGTATCCCTTGAAATGCTTGTAACATGAAAAAGTTTATCCTCTGGCTTTAGGCTGTAGTTAACTTCTTTGATACCCACAGCTTTAGCAACTCTACGTGCACTCGCCTCATGGTCACCAGTTAACATTAAAACACGAAGTTTAGCTTGATTCTGCAGTGTCTGTACAACGTCTAGAACTCCAGGTCTAGGCTTATCTTCAAAGTGAAAAAGAGTTACCTGGTACCAAGACAGAATCAGCAAAATGGTCTGCGGAATGGATGAGGAAGAAGCTTGAGGGTAATTTCTAAAAAAGAGATGAGCATTAAATATTTGTACATCATAACTCTTAAGTTATCACTGAAGTCTATATTCGGTCTGGCTTTGCCTAGCAAAATCCAGTAAGCTGATGTTTGATTTGATTGCAAAGAGGTCTTGATACCCAACAATACTCAATTATAAGGAAATGTTGCTCTTAGAAGCCCTTGAAATCTTGATGTTTAAAATAGATTAGCTTGTGGCTCAAACACCAGACCTTCTTTACATATATTTTCAATTTTGGATTCAGCCTCTCTCTTCCATTTTGTGATTTTACTCATAACGATTTCCGTTTTTTAGAGGTATAAAAAAACTGAGAAATTCACCAAGTAAAATAACAAGCATCCTGTACGAGATGGACACGAGAAAAAGTCCAATATGAGACAAGTCCACATGGGAGATTGGTCCAATGTTCATTTTCTAATTTGAGTTAATTGACACTGATTTAAACAAACATTTAATTTTAATGCCAAAAAGTTGAGTTAAGTGATACTCTTGAAGTCTACAGTGTTGAAGATTGAAAAACTGTGAAGTGAAGTGATAACTGCAACATTTTGTTGCTCGAAAAGTCATGAAAAGAGGAATAAGGTTCTCCTGGATTGTCTACTGTGACCATTAGCTGGTTTTCGATGAGTTTCAGGGGCTAGATTAGTGTTACAAACCACATTGCTAATGCTTCCCAGGAAAATAGGAATCCCTGAATCATGCTTTTGGGGTGGGATTGAAGGACAAGGACACAGTCATGATTTCTGAGATGCCATTTTATTCATGACTTTGTGTGATGAATTTTGGTATCGGGGGAGGGACTGAGGGAGATTGAATATATTCCTGCCTTTGAGTACTTTCAAAAATCTTGGATCTGGATTTCTGAAAACTATTCCTTGAGAATAAGAACAAAATTATCCATATAGGTGACATGAGAAAAGTTATCTGTTGCAATTTGGGTAAATTGGCATTTTTTTCCCCTTTGCATATCTCTCTCCGACTTCCATACCCCAACCCTCACACCGGTGTATGATTTAATACTGCTTTATTTGTTGCTATATGGTAATTTTGACGTATTTAATGGCTTCTTGTAAGTCTTTTCTGTATAACTATCTGGCTTGAATACATTATGAATTACTTCCTAGATATATCTAGACCAAAGACCTTTTTCAACAAAATTGAAGTCCAAACATTTGTTTGACCTATATTAAACATGGACAAACTAATCCAAAACTCAAAACTATAAGCTACAGAATCCCAACCCACCAAGTACCATGTGCCCACCAAACTGTCCTCGTAAATCAATACACTAAGGACCAATTTGATTCTCACAAGTAAATGGTAACACCAAATCATCCTGGAACATAATGGGATACAAGTAGTGTATTGCAATCCAATTAAGAGATGGAAAAAATAAAAATAAAAACTCTTGGTAGTAAGAGAAAATGCGAATATTATGCACCCAAGGGTGTGGCCTAGTGACAATGAAGTGGGCGGAGAACCATGAGGTTTCATGCTCCAATCCCAACGAAGGCAAAAAAACACTAGGTGATTTCTTCCCATCTATCTAAACCTTGGTGGACAGAGTTACCAAGTACCTGTGCTGGTGTAAGGTAGCAAGTACCTGGTGGAGTACTCGAGGTGCAAGCAAGCTGCCTGGACACCATCATCATTAAAAAAAAGAAGAGGGAATGTGGATTTCCAAAGTTTTAATACTCATTAGAAACAACTGACCTTTTGATTATTAACAGAGAGAGCAGCGTGGACAAAATCACCTCCAAAAGACGATGTGCTTACTGCCTCCTGAACTCTTCTCGATTCATCTTCAGAGTGGAAAAGTGAGGTGATGTATTCCACAGAACCAAGAAAAGCTTTCCACGGTTTACCGCCTCCGAGTCCTGGCTATAAGACAAATATAATGAATAATTACTTAACTTTCCCATTGTAGAATTAAGTAACAGCAAATTTAAGTTTAAAGAAGAGAGCTTTTTGCTTTCCACAAAGTGTTTTCTATAGCCTAAAATAATCTACTATTTCTTTCTCACCATAACTAATAAATAGAAAGGGGAGGGATATTCCTGGCCTTCAACTTGTTAAAACTTCACCAGCTTATTAGGTCATCCATGAGATATTAAACATGGAATTAATTAGGACCCATAACTCTGTTGCAAAATTACAGTAATCTGCTCCTCCTCAGCCCTTTTGCACAAGCAGCCCCAGCTCATACTATTTGATTTTGCAACCCTAAACCCAGCCTATAATTTTTTTCTATCCTGTGCTAATAGACTTCAACTCAGCCAAAAACTTTTGGAATGTCAAGCAAAGCAAAGCCCTAGAGTCTAGAGTAAACTCCAACTCAGACAGGTGAGGTCAATCATTCTTGGGTGCAGAACTGCTTAACCAGCAGACTTAGGTGGTCCTCAGTACATGCAGCATTTCGCGGTATGCTATATATCTAGTCTTAGGTTTAATTTCCAAATGTCCTTTGCCATGTAAGATATTATAGTACAATCACAGCACCGATATTTCAACATCTTTGGCCTGTCTACAAGTTCGGTTCTCATTGCCCCTAAACAACCAAAAGGCGCTGCTATAGGTAGACATGAATCTGCAATAGATGCAAGATTCAGCTAAAAAACAGATGAATTCCACTACTTTAAGACCTAAAATTTTGCCCTCCAAAGCCTTATTACCGTGTGTCCTAACCCGTTAGGGAGTAGATGTCCCACACTTGTATTAAAGGTAGAACTGAGTCCAGCACCAGCAGTCTAGATGGTGCACCTGATGTAAAACCACTTTAAATGTACAGTTCCAAGGACCAGGTTAAATCAGGATATCAGCTTCAAAACTAGACCTCAATAAGTAGTCTACAAAATAAAATGTAACTTTTAATATGGCACATCACATTGGTGAAGATTTTTGATCAAGCAAGATTACATATGAAGACAATTTAAGCTTAATTGTCCACTGAGGAGCTACAAGGGAGAGATCACTTCTTGTATTGGAAAGGTAATATATTGAACAGAGTAGAATTAATAGTGAGCAGATAGGAAAAAGAATACCTCAAAGCTTGATATTGTTGCAAATATGCCTCTACCAGGTAAATTCTCAAAACTTTCAACTGAAACTGAGGGGAGGTCTTTGCCTGTGCTATGATCTACAACAGCTCTGCATGAATGGAGGACGAAGCAGAGAAGATAAGCATTAAGTGATCTCAGGTACTAGTACCGACTTCTAAGCTAAACTCACTTAAAGGTGATAGTGTATAATCATAATGTTAGAAAGGGGTAAGCATCCAAAATTCATATATAGAAACATATCAAATAAATAAACAGATTAAATACATATATCGAGACATATCAATTCGCACCACCTTCCAATCGGGTGAGTTGTACCCCTCTCCATTGCAGCTGCAACAGCAAGTGCTTCTTTCTCACAGCTGGGGACACAACAAGAAGCAATTCTTTTTCCATGTCCATGTATCGGTTCAATTGCTTTGCACATGAACTCCCCAGTTGTCAGTGTACCAGTTTTGTCAAATGCAATACTATGACATGAAGCCAAGGCATCAAGAACTTGTCCACCTTTAAGCAATATCCCCTAGAAACAAAATTCACCACATAAGATCCTGTGAACAGAAAAGACTGATCCTGAAACAACATATGATAATATCATTCTGCTCAGATCCTGGAAATAACGTTTACAAAAATGAAAATAAGACAAGTATGGGAAATACGCACTGTAAGACAATGATGAGGTATTTTTTTGAGATGGTAATTGATCCAATATATTAATAATCATCAGCAAAAATTTTGTACTGGAACCAAGATTACATCAAGAAGAGCTAAGACAAAAACAAATATTAAACTTCCTTGTTCTTCTTACAAGGANATATATATTTTATTTTTTTTTGGAAAGTTTTGCTCAGACCTGACAGTAGCATTATAATAATGAAAATAGGATGACTATGGTTCAAACATAAAGACTATGATGAGGTATTATTTTTTTGAGATGAATGATGAGGTATTATACAAGTTCTAGAATTAGGAAAATATTTTTTTTTTAAAAAGCTGGTGAAAAGGATTTGACACCACAAGTTCAATAAGTAGATTGTCTGCCAATTTGAAAAGCTACCCTTTTTGCACAGGCACTGATGGCAGTTGCATAAGCCAACGGTGCCACAGCTAACGCACAAGGTGATGCAGCCACCATGAGGCCCAATGCTCGGTAAACTGATCCTCTGCAAGCTGCAGAAAAAGAAGGAAAAAAGTCACCAGATAACCAAATGGTTTAGAGAATAGATGATGAAAAAGACACATCCATATGGACATTCCTTCTTTTCACTTGCATTAAAAATCATGAAAAAGTTTTACTCTTGATAGTGGGTAACAGTTACACAGATGTCTCCACAGAGATCCAAACCCAAGCGTGCACACAAAGTTCAATAACGGTTGTTTTAACCCATTTAACACCTCAAAAACATATGCATTTTAAATCCCTTCTTCCTGATAGAAAAGTCTGAAGTAATGCAAGAAAGACTGATGTGGATAGCAACACATAAATACAAACAAAAAAGTATCTGCTCAAATTAAGACTCCTAAAAGTACCTGCGGTGCTAATGAAAGGCCACTTGAAAAGGAATGGACCAAGAAACGCAACTGCTAGAGATAATAACACAACTGCTTTACTGTACTGCTCGCCAAATTTGTCAAGCCATCTTTGAAGTTTTGGTTTACTTAGCTGAGCTTCTTCTGTCAGCTGCACAATTCTGCTGAGCATGGACTCTTTCCACGTCTTCTTTGCCTATAGAGAAAATCAAAGTTAAAAAAGACTGAATTAGACAAATTAAATTGAGTGCTTCTTAAATAAAACTGTTTTAGTTCAAAGCTCCTCAATTAACGATGTTTAACACTGTTTAGTAAATAAGACTTTAACTTTCAGGCACCTACTTCATTTTACCACTTTGAAGTCACTTCTTGGGCCCCTGGCCAAGCTTTATTAACTTTTGGGATTAAAATTTTTATGGTTTCAAATAACGGTCGTTGCTTTGATCTAGGGACTCTAGAATGACATCCCTTTGTTTTTGCAAATCTGGGAGTTCTAGAATCTATAATATTGTAGACAATCAAGGAAGTCTCATACTGGATAATCATTATTTTCAATAACTGATAAATCCCCGAGGGCCAGTAGCCCGTGGGACGAAACTCAATGGATAATGAGCACGCCTCTCTACCCTTCTCCACTTAAATTCCAAGTTATGTTTGCGGCAGGGTTCGAACCCTTGACGGGCGCCTAACCAACACATAACTCGCTGCACTCTTATCACTAGACCAAAGCCATGGGGGCTTAATGGATAATCAATTTTAAAACTCACTTATCCATTAAGAGATTCGATCTCAGTCTTCACATCCCAATAGTTAAAGTGGCAACGCACGCAGATACTAAGAGAAGAGGCAACAGTGGTTTCACACATCAATGATCCAAATTAGAAACATGACTAACAAGATCCAGCGCAGAATCATCAAAAAGGATGGAAAAGAAAAGCAATCAAGAAAAGAAAAAAGATTTTTGAGGTAAAATGAACACCTAACTGAAGCATGTCTCTTACCTGCTAAATCAATCATTACAGTAAATACAAGTCAGACGAAGCCTCTGCATGGCAGCAGAACATTTTATTTACTTTATTATTGGCAGTAAACCTATTTATGAACTTATTATCTGCAATAGAATAAAACAAACTGCATACAGAAAAGAAAGGTTGTGAGAGAATTCTTCCGCTACGGCCTATAATATACTAGTTCATTGGACTTAACAACTTAACAATCAACTCTTTACAACTATGGGAACCATTATAATGCATCTTGAATGCAATTTTTTTCTCGTGAGATAAAATTCCACGCTACATTCAACATCATATATCATAATGCATCAGTGTCTTATTGCAGCAATTTTCGCCTACTTCATGACTTGTACTCAAATGTCTCCCACGACAGATGGAAGGAAATAGATGTTTGGAATACAAATTCATCTAGCATTTGTTACCACCTTCATTATGAGATCTCTCTGAGGCAAGATAGCAAACACAATATTTAATATGAATACTCCCACAAACTTTAAGGACTAGTGGCGATGCAAACAATATGTGGGAGTGCGACAGCTACTTGCATTAGAGAAGCTGCTAGAGAGGTATTGGGAGTCTCGAGGGGTAACTTAGGTGACCACTGAGGGGATTGGTGGTGGAACGCAGAGGTCCAAGGGGAGTGGAAGCCAAGAAGGTTGCTTATACAAAGTTGATGGAGAGCAGAGACGAGGAGGATAAGTGGACGCATAGGAGAGGTATAAGGTGGCAAAGAAAAAGGCGAAGTTAGCGGTCACCGAGCAAAAACAGCAGCGTTTGAATGCTTATATGATGAACTTTGGGACAAAGGCAAGGATAAGAAGTTGTCCAGGCTAGCCAAGGCGAGGAAGAAGAGGGCCTGAGATCTAGATCAAGTGAACTAGTGAAGTGCATCAAAGACGAAGATGGCAAAGTATTGGTGGAAGAGGCATACATTTAAAGTAGATGGCAGACATACTTCCACGGATTCTTGAATGAGGAGAGGACATGAATATTGTGCCGAAGATTTGGAGCACTCTGAGAATCGTCGAGATTGTGGATATTGTAGGGGTAAAAGTTGCAGAGGTTGAAGGGGCAATGCGTAAGATGAGCAGGGGTAGAACGACCAGGCCTGACGAGATTCTGGTGGAATTTTGGAAGAGCGTGGGAAGGGCAGGATTAGAGTGGCTCACTAGGTTGTTTAATGTTATTTTTAAGACAGCGAAGATGCCCGAGGAATAGAGGTGGAGTACAATGATTCCGTTGTACAAGAACAAGGGTGATATACAAAATTACAACAACTATAGAGTTATCAAGCTACTAAGCCATACTATGAAGGTTTGGGAGAGGTGGTAGAGGTGAGGGTGAGGAGGGGTGTGTATTTCTGAGAACCAGTTTGGATTCATGCCGGGGCGATCGACTACCGAAGTCAAGCACCTTGTTAGGAGATTAGTGGAGCAGTATAGGGAGAGGAAGAGGGATTTACATACGGTGTTCATCGACCTAGAAGAAGCTTATGACAAAGTCCCAAGAGAAGTTCTATGGAGATGTTCCTGTCGCATACACTGGGGTGATCAAGATCTCTCCTTAATATCTCCACTTCCCCAAGTCTAAACAACAACAACAACATACACAACAACTTACAATACATTCTCAACACCATACCTGCTCAAACAATCAACAACAACATACCTACGATTTTCAGAAAATTGGGTAACACATATATCACTTCCTTCCAATTCAAACCAACACCAAAAACAACAAGAACAACATCAGCAACAACACATCCAAGCTACTACATCAAGAACCAGCTGAACCTAGCTAAAAAACCTTCCAAAACAGTCCCATACACACAACACCTCAAACATACTTCAAGTTTAACATGTTTTCCTTCAACATCTAGGCTTGCTATGGCCTAAAAACGACTCAACCCAAGTAGAGGGGTGAAGAACATACCTTATGGCACACATGCCCCCAATTTGCAGAGCTTACTTCATTGTTATGTCTTACTCAATCAACCATGAATAGAGAACGAGGCAAACTATCGACTAGTTTACTATGCCTTCCTCAATCAACCACGAAGAGAGAAAGAGGCAAACTATCGACTACTTTGGGTTCGTAAGATTTGACTAGCGAGCATTAATTTCGTGTTGTGTTTTGCGCTCGTCATTTATTTTCGATGTTTGTTCCAGTGACACAGAGACATCGCAAATTTTAGGAGACACTACCTATTTCCAGCTAAACATGTCCCTGTCAAATGACTATCCTAACAGCATCTTGTTACCTCTAGTGGCACTGCCTCTTTTTGTCACAAAACCAACAGTATTCAGATCACTCTTTAGGTCATTATTTCGACAACTTCTAACAACGACCAGATGTTGCTGATGTACTCCCTAGAGCTTGTAGATAGTCGTCTCGTATATAGTAGTCTTGTGTGGTTTTGTCATCCATTCTTAGTGGACCTGTTGTGGTTTATATTGGCCTTGTTGGCCTTGTTGTATATATACGTATGTTGAGCCTTTTCTGCGTGTCGGTGGTTGTCTCTTTTGATCAGGTAATCACTCGTCAGAGGCCTTGTCGACCCACGTATGGTTGATTATATTACAAGCATCACGATTGGTGCACTCGGGCCTAAGGGCACCGGTTGCCGGCCACACCCCCCAAGGTTGGGGTGTGACATTGTAATTACTGTTTATCTTTACATGGATTTTCCTTTGTCGTATTTCCTTATCTTAACTGTGGTGATTATGCATTTCTTTAGCCGAAGGTTAATCGAAAACAACCTCTCTACCTTCTCAAGGTAGAGGTAAGGTCTACATACACAATACCCTCCCCACCCTCCCCAAACCCCATTTGTGGGACTTTACTTGGTATGTTGTTGTCACTCCCACAATCAAAGATAGCAAACACCATTTTTAATCTAAATACTCCCACAACTAAAATTAGCCCTAAATATTGCAAAATCAGTTATTAGAAGTAGAACCATGGGACTACTTCTCTTACATTATCTTACAATAATTGTTCCAACACTATTACGTTCCCTCCCACATAATCAAACAGTGTGCAACGCCTGTGTTTTGGTAATGCTCCGTGATTGCATAAGCTATTACAAGTCATACTGCTATCGTGACTGATGAGCTACAAAAAATTTCTACCAAAATGAGCATCAGCAACTCAGCAATCAAATAACAAAGCAAACTAGCTTCTATATCACAAGCACTAGTCTATTTTGATAACTCATTCTGCCAGTAAATGTAAAATAAGGAATTGATCGTAAAAAGCTTACTGCACGATTGAGCCAAGGAATAATCGCTTGGACAATTCTTACTTAAAAACTAAGAAATTTTCTGTAAATTTCTCTGACAAATTTAAGAGAGACAAATCTCCGCCTTGTCACTAAGAAAAGCAAAAAAAGAAGGAATATATGTCTTCTCTTTTAATGCCATCTTGGCTACAACTGCACAAATTTCTTCACCTTTTTCAATTTAAATCAATTGAGATCAATCCGAATTATGGACTATTGAAGGGCATACCTTCACTATCAACATACCGTCCAGGTTTCGTGCACCTCCAGGAATACTGTCCCCCTCTTTCCTTTCTAAAGGTTTGACTTCTCCTGTCAAATGCTCAATAGTAATTGTTGTTCTACCTCGGGAAACTTCACAGTCTACTGGTACTGACTGATCAAAGCAACATGAAGAGTTAAACAGGCATAAAAGCTCACCATATCAAGAGTCGAAGCACAAAATGTAAAAGTAAAGATACAGAATTAAGGGAACCTAATATAAGTTGTAGGACAAAATTTGACCATGGAAGTATGATTACAGACACACACACACACACACACACACACAGATATATATATATATATATATATATATATATAGATTAAGAACCCAAGACACCAGATGTATAGATATACTAACAGGCCAAAAACTGTATAAGGCATTACCACTCCCTGCTAACTGTCTGTATGAGAAAACAATAGTAGCTAATTATCTCCTCCAAGTTTGATATTACGACAATCTAGATATTGCAATCTCTGAGTCCTACAGGTGTTAATCTCAAATTCATCTAATTCCAGCTGCCAAATAATTCTTAATATATTGATGTTATTATAATCAGCTTTAAATATAACGCCAATTTTGTATTAGCTTTCACGGTTTAATTATTGGTATATCTTCTCTTGCAAATCACAAAGGTCATGAGACCACACACGCATAGAGATCTCGGAATCCCAACAAAAGACACTTGCTGCTATTTAGTCTCTTCTAAGCTAAAGTAGAAGATGCAAGTTATACAAACAACCTATGATCTAAGATTTAGTAGGAATAAAATGGCCAGATATGGAGAACATAATCTGATGCGCAATATCAATTTAACCCGAAAGAAATAGATAAATAAGTAAAAGAGTTTTTAATGCAACTAAACCCAAAAGAAGTGTGGATACAGACCTCACCAGCTTTAACCAATATAAATGAGCCAACTTCCAGGTCACTCACTGGAACTTCACTGTATGTCAAGTCAGCAAAACTAGGCAAAGTTTGATTGTCAACATGCAGCACAAGAGCAAATTCTGGATGGTTTTCTTTTAATTCCTTTACGTCACCCTTGGAGCGACTAGTGAAGTACTCTTCAGCTGCACTGACAAATATGTCTTAGATAAAAAAAAGTTCTCCTCCAGAGGATATTTTCAAATTGTTTTACTTACCTATATGAGCCAAATTAAACATTGCAAGAAGCAAGCCACCTTCCAATATGTTCCCCATAAAAACTGATGCAAAAGCTGCAAGAGCCATCAGTACATGAATATTTATTTTGCCACCAGTAATGTCCATTAACGCATCAAGTGATGCTGAGACCTGACAATAAAGTGAAATAATAAATATGGGACTTTCCGAAGGAATTAAAGTGTTTCATCATGAGAGAACAAGCAGTAATCGTACTTCTTTACATATGGATTTACACAAATTGATATCCACAACATCATACACCACCATCGATTACGCTTTGCCTAAACTGCAATATTCTGAGGACTTAGAGATCCTAACTTCAATTGTTCCAAATGCAGTGTACTTACACACCTTCTATTCAGTAATAATTCGCAAGGGGTAAGTCCATAGTCTACAATTTGTGACTCGTTTACTCCCTATTCTTTGAGAGTTTGCAGGCTGAACAGAGTCAGTCCTAGGGTGAAGATCATCATCCGGGAAAATGGATTGAGCTGGCTAATCACTCTAATAGATTTTACGACTTAAATCATAATTCTCCCGCTTAATTAATCTCATTATAGTGACTGGAAAACCATTGTTTTTATTCTTTTTCTTGTTTTAGTGGTCCATTAATAAACGCAATAAAGCATTTGAATAGGAGATCATTTCCTCGTATCTCTATAGCCAAAATAGTATCCTAAAGTTTGTATTGTAAGCTAAGACTGCACTAAGAAATTATTCAATCAATTAGACAGGTCAATTGTACAATATAACTGAAACCATTTGTGAGTATAAAGCTAGTTTAAAGATAAAAGACATAAATACCCCAACGAGAGGGAAGGCAATGAGAGTGAAAACACGCTGGAGAGGCAGAACAGCTGGCTGGGGAAGAAAGTAAGGGCAAGCAGCGGCAGCAATAAACAAAGCCGCAGAGCAACAGCAAAGCTCTAAATGCTCTCTCAAGATATTCGCCAAGTGGGTCCATCTGATAGCTCTGGCGAATTTGAGAAATAGCTCCTGGGATTTCGTAAGCTTCCCATCACCTTCATCATGACCATGGTGGTGATGATCATGGCCATGTTCATGGTCATGGTGGTGATGATGATGGTGACTGTGGCCACAGTTACAAGCAGCGCAGTGGATGCGACCGCGGAATTGAGTGGAGCTCCTAATTGAAATTGAAGGTTTGGATTTCAATGAAGAGAGCAGGACATTGCGGTTGACTTTAATTCTCCTTCTAGTTTTGTAGATTGAACAATTGATCCCTGCGAATGAAGTTGAAAGACGCAGAGCTTCCATCTTTTTGCTGAATATTTTCACCGAATTCTCTTCTCTATTTCTCAATCAATAATAATGGGGGTTGGGGCTCTTTTGCTATTTTGGAGTGTGGCTATTGTTGTATCATCTATACCACACTATGTGCTCACTGGGTTACGGTCCTATGCTACGCTCTAGTCACGGATCTACTTGTCAAGATCTTCTTCTTTTGGGACCTGTTTGACGACTTTGGGTTAGCTCAGCACGCTTTTGTCTATTCTGCAAAAATGTATGGACATATTTTGTTGTCAAAATAATTTAGGCAATTCTAACGTATTGATCGAGGGTGCACGTTTATATGTTGCTTATTTAGAATATAAAAACTCTCTTCGTATGGTATAGTATAATATAACAAGAAACTATGATTCAGAGTGTCGTACTCAAACTTGAATATAATAGGTTGTATAATCACTGGTATCTAAGTGAGCTTATTTTAAAAAATTTAAATTCGGCCTCCGCATAAATCCACAACAAATATTTTAAAATAACAATTCATGTTTAAGGTCCTGCGAAAGACCTTAAACATGAATTGTTTTTCACGTTATCCAAATTAGCGAGGTAAATTTTTTTTAAAACTTGACCTTTGACCTTTGAGGAATAGCATGAGCATCTTTAATTTTTTCAGTTTTAAGTTAACCTATTTGGGGTCCAGTCCGTAAATTAGTGTTCAACTCCATATATCCCTTTACCAGTGAGTTGCTTTTAAAAAGTCGAATCATGTAATTTTTTCCTGTACTCCTCCTATCTGTTGTTATATCCCTTTCCAATCACATTCTAACATGGACGAGCTAAGCTCTTTAGTTATCATTCATATAAATGACTCCATGCTCCCTTTTAACTATACCTTGACGATACCTTCTAATACATATTAAATGTTGGATATAAATGTTATACATTTTTATATGAAAATAACTGCATCTTGCTAAAAGTGTTCCGCCTTGAAGCGGAAGTGAACGGAAACTAATAACACGGATCCCCACATAAGAAGCGGAACACCACATAACTACTCATATTAAACATTGGTTTGAATAATTTAAGAACAGCACCACATAACAGCAAAAAGGATCTAACAGTCATTCGAGAGTATCATATGTCGTCATCAGTGTCAAGTTAGAGTCCAATCTGAGTCTAAAATAGCAACAAACCCCTTTCAGTCTACGCTATGGTTAAACTAATTGGTACATTGGCTGCTATAAATTGCAAGTGACGTACAAGATCTAGGGATCATCTACAGTTTTTTATGGCACTCTACTCTACAGGTGGACACAGTTTAACAACAATCAGTAAACTATCGTTATAGGCAGGACTTTCCTCTCTAAAGTTGCTCACCTGACTGTTTAAGTCGAAAATGAATGGCACTCCAGAAAAAAAAAATGAATGATCTACTGTTACAGATCACAACACACAACAACAAACAGTTTGCCTATATTTGCGAGCCATCACCTGTAAGCATATGGCATGTTTAAGAAATACTGCTCATGCTTCTAATGCGACTCATTCCGGCTATGGTTAAATTGGTAGACAGGTCAACTTTCTTTATCCTTACCACTTCCTTCAGGAGCTTTGGGACCATCATAAGCAGATAAGAAGAAAGTACCTTGGTTTTTCTGCAAAAACCTGTAGCAAACGCATACACAAAATAAAGGCTCATCAAAAAATAATACATCAATACAATAGGTGTTTCCTGAATCCATGTCATCTTGGAAACACTACATCCCTGCCAGGAAAACTACAATGGAATTCATTAATGTTGCTGTTGAACTGGTTCTTACAGAAGGCAGAAACAATGGATATCTTTTATTCCTTTTTTTATTTTTCATCAGTTACAATAACAAAAGCACTTCCCTTCTGTTGATAATTTATAACAAATCTAATGCACCTCCTTTTCAGGCACATTACCGTAGTAATGAAAAAGTCGAGCTAGCCTAATATTCAGAAGCTATAGAAAAAGGAATATTATTGAATATCTTAAGCTTAATACGTTTTCCTTGAAAATTGTCAGGGAAGTTAACAATCCAATGTAAGCTAGTGAAATTTCTGCCTTGGTGCTTTCTAGAAGAGAATAGAGAATCATGTGATTAGACCAATAACTTTAAAAAAAAATACTAGCCAAGACTAATGCAGCAATTATCTAATTAAACCCTCCTTACACAGCTATCCACAGTGAACACTTCAGCTTGTTGTTGTTTACTAAGCAGCAGTTCAATCATAAAATAATTCCAAAACATATTTATAAAAATAAAAATAATAAAATAAAAACACTGGTAGAAGGAAGTAGAGGAAAAAGAGCATATACTTGAGAAAGTCTAGCAATTTCTGCTGCAAGCGAATCAATGTCTCCTCTTCAATTTTTACATATGCAAGTAACTCAGGCAACTTTACTGCAACATCAGCAAACAAATTAAGGTAGGACTTTGCAAGTCTCGACGTTTCATATAATATATATTTTAAGTTCATGTAAACACATTTAAAACACTGCTGAACAATTTTCTTGAATTGAGACCTAGAGGATGTTTCACAATCTTATCAAAACATTTACTTTTGATAAGTAAAGATATACAAGCGTACAGACAAACATATGAAGGATCCTCTGCAGTATGATATTTTTTAAGGTTCACATATCTCTATGTTGGGGTTAGTTCAAAAAACGGTGAACATTTAGTATTTCTTCATACCAAAAAGACGCAACAGATGTTCAGCACCATATACACTAGATGGAGAGACATTATCTGAAACTGCTTCATGATACTGTTGGCGCTCCTTCTTGTACAATAAAATAACGGGAAGTGCTTTGTCAAAATAACATCGAATTCCATTCAGTATCTCCCCAACTGAATCAGTCATCCTGCATGTATATTTGGAAGACAAGGATTGGCAGACATTAAAGAGCAAACTACACCTCCAAGATAAATGCATTTTATTTGCAATCATTGCACATGCAAAAGTAATTGTGAATAACCTCACAATTTAGCAATAAACCAACTACTAGCTTGACATCTGGTAAGCATAGTTTAATGAATTGACAATATAAAACACTAGACTATAGGTCCTTAAGGAAATACTGGGGTGGTTTGATAATTTCTTCATCCTGTATGAGTTTGCTTATGGAGTTACCTTTTGAGAGAACCAATATATTCCGACATTGACCATGCAGACTACAGGATGCCATAGCTCCCATAGAAGAATTGTAGGGATGGAATTTAATATACTTATAAACTTTAACAATCAAAAAGAATGATAGGGATGGAAGAACGAAATAAAGATGCATAACGTCAGCTCAGCAATAAATTCACCCTTACATGAAAAGAAAAAGACAAAGCACTTACATCCCGTCCTTTTTGGATCGGTATTCAAGGTACTTAGTCAATATATCATCAACAGTGGGAGATCGTGGGAGCTTCACAAGCTGCAAAGAAGAACACATCCGACTTCATCATATAGCAATTATGTATAGCAACCAACATTAATAACTAACATCGTCAGAATATAAATGAAAATTATTTGCACTTGTACATTTTAAGTTATTGAAAATTATTTGCACTTTCAGTACTATCGTTCAAACTTTGCAATTTTGAAGAAGTTATGGTACTACATTGATCCAAATGCTAAAGGATTTTAGGACTTGATGTAATTAAAATGTTAATTAATATCTGGCCCACAGAATATTGCTCGAATTCAGTTGAATGGTATTATTGTGAGAGGCATTTAACTAGCGCGCTTGTTGAAGCGAGAAATAATTTGACTAACGAGATAAATCATGAATTTTATCAGACCTAAATTATAGAACTGTTCTTTTGTTTAAGAAGCTGGGCTTAACGTGAAGCCTGGTCTCGTGGGACAGAAGCAGGCGAGCTAGCATGGGCCTGGGAAATCATCTCTGCCAGGCCCAAAACCAATTTTTATGCTGAAGGTTAGTTTAAAGGTTGGTCGTTGGGGGCTTGAGCGTATATGGCAAGATGGGCCTCACAGAAGCAGGCCCAATGGCCTTCCTTGGTGAGGTCATAATCCTCCTTCATTCATAGCCACAAAATCATTCAATGTCAATGAAGAAAAGAAAATTGATCAACTCCAGCATGCCATTTGTAGGGATGAATACAGATGTGTGGCTGAGCAGATCAATTTCATGTTATCCAATATGAAATTATGAATTATTCTAATCCCGACAGATCCGGTTCAGATTAGCAGGGAGGAACTCAGTCTAGTAAATCAGCATAGATCTCAAAGACAAATAAGGCATAGACATCTATTTGTCAGAGTTTTTTTTTGGGATTTCAGGTTGAGATAAGATAAGTCAGCAATTATACTTCTAGTTGATTGCTCTATCATGGGTTTCCCATTATACATGGCTCTGGTCACTCATCTATGCTCCAACCCTTAACAATAGTATCCACAACGCGTCCGATACTAGACTCGATTGGAGCACGGCCCCCGCTAATCAACTTTAATAGTATGTTTTGAGCTATATTATTTGATACTAAGACAAAATCATAGAAGTCCCTCTCCACGAAACACTGGAACTCAAAAAAGAGCAATCCAAGGTTATATTTTTGTGCCCGGAGTAGGTCCAGTTTCAATAAAGGTCTCGTGCAAGTTTATTCCAAGAGTTTTCTATCAGCTGCAGAAACAAACAGCTTATTGGTCAGCAACTAGGAACTTCTCATTGAATAGTTGTCACTGTCACTTGTTTGGGAAGCGTAGTAGTCGTTGTTGTTGTTGTCATTCACTTGTGTCTTAGTCTGTTACTGAGCTTGATAAGACAGATAAACCTAGTCATGATCCTAGATATATGTACCTTATTTTGCTGTGTGATGAACTCCCAATCATCAACCAGTTGCTTCTTCAAAGTAGATGGAATCTGAATCTTCACAAGTTTCTCTGCAGATACATTGCCCTTCTGCCATCAAATATCCAAGTTACCAACCAATCCATGATTATTTAAAAGCTAATCCAGCACATCATCAACAAGAAGAAACCTCCCCATGATGGCAAATAATGGCTGAGAAACCTTTTAATAACAAATGTCTTCACAGGCAAAAGAAGTGAGATTAGACAGGTATGGGATTGCAGTGTCTAAATCACAGTATAGGATGACTAAAATGGAGGAGTGCTAAAGGAGTATTATGCGATAAGTAAATACTCTACACAACGATTTAGACTAACAATGTTATATGAAAGTGAATGTTGGGCCTGTATCCACAAGATGAATGCCATAGAAAAATGTATGTCAAGATGGATGCTTTACCAAGATAAAAAATGATCGCATTCGATAGAGGGTGCAAGTAGCACATAAATAAAGTGAAAGATTGCATGAGACCATTTGTTCAAGTGCAACGTAGACTCTCAAATACACATGTTCATAGGTGTGAAACTATAATGATTAAACGTGCAAGAAGGGAATGAGGTAAACCTAAAATCACATGAACAGGCTCAGTTAAAAATTGAATATAAAGAAAGCAAAGGATCCTGCAGGCAATAGCAGTAATTTGGAATTATAGATTAGTAGTTGTTACACTTACATCAAATCTCATGCTTTTCAGTAGTCTTTTAAGTTTGGTTAGATATCTCTATAGACCTATGTGGGAATAAGTGTGGGATTTAGAGAATCTCTAGTTTTAGAGAACCCTAAATTTGTCTTAAAAAGTAAATTATAGAGGATTAGAATAGAGAAGGGTCGATATAGAAGATTCATATAGTTGACGCCAGCTAGATTAGAGTTGAGTCATAATTAAACTTCAAGTTTATCAACAACAACCGTTTATCTTTAGTTTCGGACCCATTTCTAGTTAAAAGATTATAGTTTTTGAACTTTAAAACTCAATGCGCACTCAAAACTAAGACAGCCAAAAGTATCATTTTAAGGAGGATAACACTTGGAATTCATTTGATATCTATAACTTTCTTTTGGAGATTCATCCAAGATATTAACTGCATTTATTCAGCTGCTACCTACATACAGGGCACCGGGCAGTGGACATAGAAACCAAGGCACAAAAACTTTTCATTTCCCTAGCTACATGAATGATCTAGCTCTCTTCATCCCTCCTGTTCCATTGACATCCACTTGCAATTAGACTTATTTTGACTTTGTACCATATATCAGATATATACTTAAATATGTCATCAGCGATAACCATAAGAGGGGGAAAAGGGCATTGAGCCATAGAGTCCAGAATTAAGCAAACCTCAGTGCCTGAGTCGGCTTTGCGCTTTTTCCCTTTTGGAACTGCAACACAAGTTCAATAAAAAGAAATATCTTATAAGAAGATAATTAATAGAAACTAAAAGACTTAACAAACTCAAATCCGTCTGATTTTGTGATCCTGAAGCAAAATAGGTGTACTCCAGTGCAGCATGATACGAATAGTAAAAAGTCATCACTTTGACCAACTCAAGGTCATTTCATCTACAATATTCCACAGCGGGATAGTAGACAAATGCCAATTCATAGGAAAATTAAGGAGAGTGCTGTCAGTTATTAGCTTTTTACATCCAATCTTGCATGTATTCCTAACTATCGTATCCACCCCACAAGGATGATACCCACAGCTGTGAGAATTTTGAACGGGACTCCACAGTCATCAAGGACTCATAACATTTAACTGGATCTAATAACTCAAAATCTTTTGTATAAGCTGTCATCAGAGAATATCAATTTGAATGAAGCAATACAACGTGATTGAGCTATACTAATGTTTATGTACTGCCTAGATACAGCTTCCTTCAGTTAAATATCCAAAAGCTAGTCAAATTGCCAAATCTTTAACCTTGGTTAAACCTCTAATACAAAAGTGTGGACTACATAATGAATGCATGCCAGCAATCAAAGAAGTCAATAGCAATCATAACATACATTTCTTAGAGAAAATTAGAAGAAAGAAGCTTGTCGTGCCACTGTAAAATCCCTAACTGTAACTACAAAATTAACTGTTTCTCTTCATTCATTTTCGAAACTTTGGATGGTCGGCTCTCCCTTCTCAATGGTAGAACAGAGAAATATGTGCAAGCAAGTCTATCATAGGCATAAAGCAAAGGCGAGAGATTCTAGAAATTACCACTTCTCTTCCATAATCTTTTGTTTTATGACCCCGGTTATTACATACAAAAAAATGAGTCCCACTTTTTCTGAGCACACTCAAAAGATATGTCAACTATTGAACATTTGAGGTTGGGGCTTTTGTATTCCTTTGTTTCTTCTGTTATAACCAAAGCCAATCATTACTTCTCCTCTGCAATCACATATTGCTTCTTGGCTACCCTTCTGATTTTCCTCCTTTTTTTACTTCTCGGTGAGAGATTCAAGAAATTACCATTTTTCTTCCCTAATCTTTTTTTATGACCACGGTTAATTTTACATACAACAAGATGTGTCCCACTTTCTCTGAATAAACTCAAAAGATATGTCAACTATTGAAGATTTGAGGTTGGGGCATTTGTATCCCTTTGTTTCTTCTGTTATAACCAAAGCCAATCATTACTTTTCTTCCCTAATATTTTTCTTATGACCCTGGTTAATTTTACATACAAAAAGATGTGTCCCACTTTCTCTGAGCACACTCAAAAGATATGTCGACTATTGAAGATCTGAGGTTGGTGCCTTTGAATCCCCTTTTGTTTCTTTTGTTATAACCAAAGCCAATCATTACTTCTCCTCTGCAATCAGATATTGCTTCTTGGCTATCCTTCTGATTTTCCTCCTTTTCTTAGTTCTCTTCCACGGTCCACCTATGCTTAACATCCTCGTACATGCATCGCGTCTTTCCCCGACACGCGATCCATACTGAAGCTGAGTCTTATCATCCACCAGACATGCTTCATTTGATACCCTCACAAATGTAATTACCTCAGTATTCTAATTGTTTTGCCAGACAGAGAAAACACCGCTAGATAATGTGAGGGGGTTTCTCATACTAGTAGTATCAAAGACATTTGATTTAGGTGGCTTAAACATGAGATTAAACTTTTGTGAGAAAAAGGTACATGGCCTAAAATGCACAACTTATCAAATGATCATCAATCATGTCAAAAAATAATTAGTACGTAACTAGGTTTGGGATAAAATTTCCAGTATAAGCAAGAAGACTACTTTCTAAAACATTAATTTTAAAACTAAAAAGAAATTAATAAGGCAGCCTGCAATGATAATTTGTTTTAAAAGAAGTTAGGGTTGAGGTCCAGGATACCTGATTCGTCAGTACACCCCTTGCACGTAAATTTTATCAACAGTCCAAATTTCCAATAAATTCATATATTTAGGTTGCAAATTTGGTTGAAAGAAACCGCAAATCAGGCACACACCCAACATTGAGTGTCCATGATGCCTGAGAGAGCTTTAGGGCTACCATGTCCAAATTATCAAAGGACCAACTCAGCCGGAGTTGAAACATTTAGAGGAAAGCAATTATTCCATCCCAATGCAAATGTGGGATTTCCTTGCTTGTCTAAGTTCGAAACAGAAGCATTAGAATGTTTTCCATGTTTCTTTAGACAATGCTTTACATTCAGTTACTTTCCAGTATGGACGAACATTTATTTTTTCCCCAAATGGAAAAATATCTTTAACCACATTTTAGTTCTACAAGGCTCTGATAGAACTCCAGACGAATGAACTTTTTGAAGTTCGATGCTCCCGTTCTTCCCTGCATTATCCTAGTGTAAGGGAAATAAATGTGGATAGAGGAGAAGACGAAGACAGGCAGGAAGAATCATGAATCAATTTTGGAGGTAGATATTCCTGAAAAAAAGATGCATCTATGTTCTTGCTTAAAAAAGAAAAAAGGGAAAGTCCGAAATCAAAGAAATTTCCGTATCCCCCCAAAAAAAAGTAAACTAGGGATTTTACACTTTTATAAAAACCTGCTTTACTTATGTGGAGGACGCTGGACATGCTTAGCTTTTGGCTTTATTACCTACCCCCCACCCCCAAAAAAATACTAATGCAGAAAGCAATCACTTACTTTAAAGAAATGAATAATCAAAATTATAAGATACCATACCATTGCTCTTAGTGTCTTCTTTATCCAGTTTAACATCTGCAAATGAAAAGTAAGTTAGAAACAACAATGACATTCAATCCCGAGATCTAATACTCCACTAAGTTATGAGATCCTTTCCTTCAGAGGAGATACATAACCAGAAGGCATTTGGTTTTGTAGTTAATGTCCACTATTAGATATGCCAGAACTTTTAAAATTGAAAACATGAGGTAGAACAAGAAAAGGAGTTAATGCATTTTTTCTTAAGTTATGCTAGACATGATTTACAACCTTAACTTTGGTTATGTTTCCATTTAATCACTGAGGTACATGACAAACATCTTAAAGGAACTAATCTTTTGGAATTTAGTCCTACCAATTATTGGTTTTCAATCAGCTAAATCTCCAAATATTTGACCTCAAAGAAAGACATCAGGAGTAATATTGAGTCCATAAACAAGTCATAAACATCAAGAGGTTATGCAAAACATAAGTATTTCCATGACCAGATACCTAGAGAAGACACACCAGCTGAGCTTTTTGGCTTTGCCTGCGCTGAGCGTCCAGATTTAGTATTTTTTTCCATGCCCTGCTTCTTGTCCAGGGCCTGCTGCTTCAAGACGTTGTCTTCCGTGTGCTTCATCAAGCGGTCAGTGCCTACCCATTCATCCCAACTGTTGCAAGACATAGTTTCAGTAATTAGTCTTGCCGAATACACTTACAATTGACAATAATTCAACTCCAACCTCCAAAATTCAGTTTGAATTAAACAAAAAACTAGCTTCACATTTTACTGCAGAACCTGACATACACAGCTTGACAGCTATGTAATATAGCTATTATTCCCAGTCGCAGGAAAAGGTTCTGGGCTCTGGAGTACCAAGTTCATAGAATCTAATTTCCGTTTAAATTTAGACAGCAATTGCTTTTCCTTTGGTAAATTTATGTTGTTAGAAACACACCAAACTGTAAATGATTTTTTATAAATTAAAAATATTTGAAAAAAGATCATAGTCAAAGAAAGAGCTTGACTCTCCAAATAGTAATAGTACCAGGTAAAATAAGATAGAGGGAATTCAATATTGTGAATCAATAAATCCTTATTTAGACAAAAAGGTTGAGGGATTTGTAATACTCCGTCCTTTTCTATTTGAACATCATGGTTTGAACTTCAATGGGTAGATAGGTATATTTCATATATTAAGCAAAGGTTTGGTAGAACAACATCGAGAAAGTGCTTATGGAGAATAGTAAAAGTAGATCCTATGTAAAGTATTAAATCTTCCAATAATTCCCAATTCCGGGAAAAGGACATTCCTTTTGCAACAGATTGAAATGGAAAGAACACGTTTAATTTGAAACAAAAGGAGCATGTAGTTGAAATGATAGATATAAAACTTCACTATTATCATACAAGACCAAATTCGTTGTGCTACCTGATGCTTTCCAAATCAAAATCATGCATTCATAATTGTCCTTTACATCCAGAGCAGCACAATATTTTTAAATCTAATCTGTCATATAACCACCATAATCAACATATCGAAATATATTCATGTCTCTTGCTCAAGGACTAGCTCCTTTGGAGCAGGGCATTCAAACAGAAAATGTTAAGGCAGCATTTACGACGAACATCAGTTGGTCAACCTTTCAAATTCTGGTGTAAATTGCTATTAAAATGATACTCTTGAATTGAAAACTTTTTACAAGAACTTCATAGACTCACTTTTTGTTCCATCCCTGCAATTTAAAATAAATAAAAACGAGTATTAATTCTCGATATCATTGCGAATATTGAAAGAAATTTAAACAGGCTAAGAATGTAAGGCTATTAACCTATTCTACAAGTTCTTTCACATCTTTTAACTAAAGAATCTCCAAATTAATTTTTATATATAAAGCATAAGGTGAAAGAAGATGAATATTAAACTTACAAGGTAATGAACAAAGTATCTCCATTCATTCTTCCTTAGCTCTGCTTTTTGAACCTTCACAGTAGAAAAACATGGATCACATTAGGGTGTAGCATGAAGCTTGTGGCCAGCAATAAGTAGCATGGTTTAATCAGGGTGCTAAAATTTGTAGAAGGCGACAGTACGTCATTGTACACATGATTATTTTCCATATACAGAAGAAACTTTCCCTTGTAAGAAATATACTAATTCACAAATAGTGTTTTCAAAAGTGAAACGCCATAAAAGCAACAAGTCTTGAGAGGTATAAGCGAACAGCAAAATGCACATATTCTCAAAGTAAAGAGCGTGTTTAGAGAAAATACAAGATTTACCACCAACGTGAGCAAATTTAGTAATTCAACGGTCCAATATACAACGGCGAAAACACTAATCCCAATTCCCAACAACTGAAATTAAATATCAGTAAAGTGTATATTTGTTTTTAAAAATTTTATTTTTATTATACGTAGGGAGAGGGAAAACGGGGAGGGGATTACTAGGTGAAAAATCGAACCCTCACCAGCAAGGTGAAAATTCAAGTAATCAACCAACTGGGCTATTAAGATTTCTCAGTAAAGTGCAATTTCAATAAGCTAAGTGGTACTTTGTTTTATAACCGAGAAATCCCCAAGGGAAAATTGCACACAGTTCGAAACTCAGAGAAAAATGGGTCCGCCCCTCTACACTTCTCCACTAAAATATCAGGCAAAATGCCTGCAACAAGGTTCAAACCCATGACTTCCACCTAACCCACATATCACGCACTATGTCTCTTCAGTAATATAACTACAAGAGATTAAGAACCATATCTCGTCTAGAGTTAACCCTCAGGGGTTGGCCTGGTGGCAATTGACTTGAGCCTTGGGGTTTGCTCCCTTTCAAGGTCTCAAGTTCGAAACCCACTGGGTGCAAACAATTTCTGAGGGCCATCGTACTGGGTAAAACCTGAATTAACCGTGGTGCACTTGCGGGAAACTCCTTGCCGAGGGCCTGTGCACCCCCGGGATTAGTCGGGGCTCAAAGAGACTCGGACACCCGGTGCAAATCAAAAAAAAATATCTCGTCTAGATTGGATTCTCCTTGCACAGAAGCATGATTAGCAGAGAAGGTCGGATAACTGTAATAGGTCAAAAGCTGAAGTAGAATTCCCAAAAATCACTTCCAGTTCATATACACAGATCACCCGTAGTTGCAGGGAAAATAAAATACTGACACAAAATCTCAACCAATAATCAAACATATCATCAGAGTAGATATAAAATAGCCGAGATTTTTGTTACAGTCAATTTCGATAAACACCAAATCCAAGAGAATATACGTCGATAGAAGGCATCAGCGCTCAATTTCCACAATTAATTACAGCATTTCTATACTAAATTAGCGATTTCTGTGTAAAAATAAAAGGCAAGTTAAGAAACGTGCCTTTGCTTCGTAGATGCGAGGGCCATGATAGGCGAGAACCTTCTCGCCTTCGGTGTAGACACTAGGTTTTGAGTCGGGCACGTCGCCGGAGGAGTTGTCGCTGTCGGTAGAAGAGTCGTCTTTGGAGCTAACCATTTCCGATTACCAGAGGGTTTCGACTAGTATCTCCTCCGTCTCTGGTCGTGTATGACGTGGGAAGCGACGGTGGATTTGTTTCCCACTTCTTAATCGGTTTCAAAATGAAAGGGAACAGTGAACCTGTGCCGCTGCATTTGTGCGCGTGTGCGCGTGACTCTTTAAACCCCCTCGGATATTGCAGTAATCACTGATCAGTAGTATTGCCAAAAATAAATACTTACCATTTTATACTTGAAAACAATAATTTCATTCCTTTTCTTCTCTCTTTCTACCACTGTGCTGCTATCGAACAAACTATACTTCTTTTCATTTCTAATTCTTGTTTGCAATTACATTTATATAGACTACGAGAGTGTTTTACCTAGTGAGATTAACTTGTTTACCCTCGAAAATGAATAACAAATCAATTCATACGCGGTTTTAAGGATATCTGAACTAATTCAATACAACTGATCAATAACGTTAAATAAGTGAATTAAAGATAGAATAAATAATCAAACCAGTTGTGGTATTAGGTCTGAGCTCGGATCTGAGCTTAGATATTGTTCTGCCTTTGATTCTAAGCCAAATATTTGTGAAGAACTATGAGCAAAAATAAGAACTTTGAATAACTTTAGTAGCAGAGAAAATAAGTGTATATTGTTTTGATATGTGTGTTACATTGTGTCTACTAAATAATAAACTTCTCATTTATATAGTAGGGGAGTTTTACCCTAAGTATAATAAGAAAGGTAAAAATTTTCTTTTTCGTTGATCATTGATCCGTTGTCGATACGGGCCGAGATCCACGCCGTGATATGCGGTTGGGCGCGGTTATCACGGTCCTTCGTTAGTCGTGTATAACCGTTTGGTTATGCCTTCCGAGGTCTTGGAGCCCGAACCGGATTCTGGGGGCGTTGTCTCAATGGCCCCGGTGGTAAGCGCTTCGTTCGGGCCTTAGTACGAGAGGTTCTTAGCTTCAATCCCGATTCCAAGTAGTTATGTCCTTGCTTCGTTTGCCCCACCGAGAAATCGGGGTACTCACTAGCCCTGTTTTTACCCGTATACAGATAGTCCCTTCATTTTTCATAGAGTAGGTTCACCGAGACAATAAGAAACGATAGATGAACCCCGGTTCCTTCCTTCGTACATCACGATCGAAACGACGAAGAAGTCGGAACGTCCCATCAGTCGTGTCGTTCTGACTTCGAACACGTGTCAACCACCAGCTGGTTGTCTTCGAATGCGAAGCGTCGCGTACTTCCCCTATAAAAGCTTCTATCCTCTGCTCTTTTTTCACTTTCCGATCAAGCTTCCACCTTCGAATTTTCTAGCTCTCACCAACTTCTTTCAAACCTTCATATCTTCATCCGTGATCTTCAAATTCTCATAATTGTTCTTAGGTTCTTACCCAGATTTTCTTCAAATCTTCATACTCTACTCTTCAGCCTTCAAACTTGTTCCTTCAAACCTTCATATTTTTTCTTTAAATTTTCAAACTTTACCAGATAGCAATGGCTAAAATGTCTAAATCAGTTCCTCAATAGGCTGTCTCTTCATCTTCCCACCTGGCCACAAATGCTGAGGTGGCTGCTTCCGAGGCGGTTTTCCCGAAGTGGCCGCTCCCGAGGTGGCTGCCTCTGGGGCATATGCCCCCGAGCCTCCCATAAAAAGCTTTATACGCGGGGGTTGCTCAATCGCGGACGACTTCAAAGTCGAGAAACCCTCATCTAAAAAGGACCGGGGTGAAGGAGCATCGAGGTATATATGCTTCATTAGTGAAGATGTCCTTCCCGTGGTCCGAGAGGATTGTAAATTGGAAGGCATAGACATAGTAGTCTCCGGGCCTGAGGACGCTATTACTACCAACGTGGAGGGGTATTTAAGTGTTTACACTTACCTTTTCACACTAGGCCCGGTAGACCAAGTTGTTTTGGATTTTTGCAAGAGATACGAGGTGTGCCTTGGGCAAATCCACATGTCTCTCTAAAGGATCGTGATCTTCCTCCGTTATTTTGTGAATAACACCGAGTCTCTTCGATTCACCATCGACACTTGCTCCGTCTATACAATCCACGAATTTTTCGAAAGGGATTAATCAAGCTCACTCGCTAGGCCAGCAAGGCCCCCTTTTCGAGTATTGACGTAGATCGAGACCGAGGCTGGCAGGGGCGCTTTGTTCGGGTGAAGACTAAAGACTTGATCCCTCCCGATTTCATGCCATTCCCCGAGAAGTGGAATGTTTCTCGTAAGTGCAGCATTTCCTTAAGTGTCAATTTTTCTTCATCTCCTTTCTCATCATTCGTATTTGTGGTTGTGTAGCTATTGCCCGGGTTCCAAATGCGGTCCTCGGCTCAAGGAGTGGATCGAAGGTATCTGCAAAGAGATGTCATACTTCGAGCGCTCATGGCGCAAGCTTTCGAAGGGCCGATGGGAGGCCCGTTCTCATGGTATGGTTCTTCTATGAATAGTTATTACCGTGCTCTTAACTCACATTATACTAACCTTTCTTCTTTCTTTTATAGGTTTGCCTAAGACCACCGGACTTAGGCCTCTGGAAAGGGATGAGGAAGTGTCCTTGTTCGCTGATCCTTCCATTACCGAACAACCCAGAGCTGTCGCGGGGGAAAAGAAAAAGAGGAGGAGAAAACCCTCAGGCTCCCCGGGTCCCGAGGTGAAGCCGAAGAAGAGGGTGGCTCGTAAGCCCAAGCCCAAGAAGAGTACCAACTCCCAGGTGCCGGATTCTGATTCGCTTCTCCAGTTCAAGGACGAGCCGAAAGAAGACGACATTCTTGTTGCCCACGGATCGACCCCTCTCGGGGAGTATGCGGCGACCAAAAAGAAGAGTCGTGAGGTCAGGCCCCTCCCATTCCGAGGGTCCGAAGTCGAGATGGAGGTTGTGACCTCTCAAGAAACTGCTCCTGCCTTGAAGGAGGCTACCGGTGTGATTGACATTGTTGAGACGCCCTCCAACACTGATTCTATGCTCGACGAGGCTCAAGCGGGCAAAGAGAAATCAAGTGAAGGAGCACAAGGTGCTGATGACCCCCTCTGTTCCTTCTTTGATGGCGTGGACATGTCCAATTCGGACGATTTTACCGGGCAAAAATTGGTTAATCAGTTTCCCGCTCCGAGTGTGGACCCCGTTCGCAAAAGATCGGTTATTCTTACTATCCCGGAGGATGCTCGGGTTCTATCCGTTCCCGTGGGCATAGCCAGCTACCTCCGATGCCTGGTGACCGAGGAGGACCAAGCAAAAATGAATGAGGTGGGCATGCCGTGTCTTTTCAATGAGGCGCAGCAGGCGTTGCACCGAGTAAGGCATCATTACGTCCTCTTAAAGTTTACTCAGGTTTTAATATCTCTCACGACTTTTGTTGTTTTGCAGGCCTCGGTACTTTACCATGAGAGCTTCCTCTGGTACTGTTTTGAGGTCAATCAGCTCGAGTTCGAGCTCAAGGAGCAGTCTCGAAAGAAGGATATGTACAAGCTCCTCAGTGAGCAACAAGACGGGGCTATCAAGGACCTTCAGGCCGAGCTGGATAGGGCTCAGAAGGAAGCTTCGACCTTGAAGTGGGGAACATGCCGACCTGGTCAAAAAGGTAAAGGTCTTTGAAGTTAGAAACGAGGAACTAGTCGTAGTGGCTAACGAAAAAACCTCGCAGGTTCAACAAAAGATCGACCAGATCGACCAACTCCGAATCGAGCTAAATGAGATCCAAGCCATGGCCGATGGGTGGAAGAGCAAAATGGACATGCTGGCTTCGGAGAAGGAAATCGCCCAAGCAAAGCTGGAATCGGTAGAGGTTCAACTTCAGGTGGAGAAGGAGAAAGCTGACAAACGGTCCCATCTGAATGAGGATCTCCAAGCACAGCTGAGCTTGGCTGTCGATGAGCGGGACACCCTCGGCAGAGAGTATGAAGCAATAAAGTCCAAGTTGGACACAACCTGCACCGATGCCGAAGAGATGGTGGCCCAGTACAAGGACGATATTGAGGCTGCCGAGACCCGTCTGAAGACGAATGCTGAATATATGAGGTGGTTGTCTCGAAGGGAGACCCTCAAAGAGATTCACGCCCGAGGCTTCGACCTGTCGGCCGAGATCGAGGAAGCAATAAAGATTGAGGCTGAGGCAAAGAAACTTTCTGAGCCTGAAGGTTCTGAAGGCTCTAAGGGTTCTGTGGGATCCAAAGGTTCCGACGGTTCTGGCGACGAGTAGGGCATCGGTGAGGATCAAGCATGAATGCCTTAGAACTTTTTAGTTTTTGTCTTGTGTATGTTTTTTGTTTATTTTGAGGCTGTTTTTGTTGGGCCTTTGTAAATACATTCCGGAATATATAAAATTTCCCTTTCTGGCAATTTCGAGTTTCTACTTTTTAACATTTTTTCATAATTTCTATTCTTGCAAATATTTCTAATGCCTTAGAATATAATCAAATGTAGTAATAAGTCGTTCGTTTTTCAGAGGTCCGAATAGAGCCAAACTTCGATGCAACTTTATTTGCTCGAGGCTTTGAAAACTCGGTGTGACCGGAAGTTTTCCCAAGATGCTTAGGTGATTTTAGACGATGCTTTTGTCGAGGGTAACCTTTTAGCAGGCTTTGAATTTTTATAAAGGCCTTATGTTCTGATTATGAGCTTCGAACATCTCCGAGCCATTTTTTAGGGTGGTCGTAGCCTTTTGTGTTTAGGCACTATCAAATAGGTTTTGTGCCTCCGGTATTTGATAGCCCGAGTTTCCCGAGGTTTTTTTGGATGACAGTCCCTGAGTAGGGGTAGCCTTTGGGCTCGATAGTCCCCGAATAGTGGTAGCCCATGGGCCCTTAGGATCTATGTTTTAAGAGGCAAAAATGCGTAATAGCAAGGTGGGAACTTTCTTTCATTTCTGTGTGTAAAGTACATAATCGAAAGCGCATAAAAGCTTGTATCATGGCTAATGTGGCCTATGTGGGCACAGTTCACTTGACCGTTTGGCCCTTACAATAAATCCTATTTACCGAACCTAAGCTATTCAAGTACAAAGTTTCCTTCTTTCCTTGCTAAGAACCTTAACCCGAGGGTGATGGCCCCCAGTATTCGAGGTCGGTCTTGAGAGGGCTCAGATATTGTTGATGCGCCCATTGACTCCGATTTAAGATCGGCATTCGAATCTATGTTAGCACGATTTACTGTTGTCTCGTTAATAACCTTGCCAAAAAACCCATTTGGGACAAAAAC